AACAAATTAGGGTGGCAACTCTATCACAGTACACACTGTCAAATTGGGCCAAAGACCCAACCCGACATCACTTAAGCGTTAAACTGAGCCATAATCTAACAAATCAATCTAAAATCAAAATCAACAAAAGGAACCATAAGGAGTTCCTCCCAGTTTCCATGATGAATCGTCCAATGGGCCCGTCTGGATCCACTCTGTCCTTCAGATCTTTCCTATGGCGCTCGGGTGGGGGTTCACAGATACCAATCGTGAAGACCCAACGTTTTCATAGGTCTCTTTCTTCTTGCAAGAAGCTATATTACAATGGATCTCTTGAGTAACCAATGATCTTGGATATAAAAATTGATATTACCAAATTGCCCGTCTGGACTTTCCACTCTGTCCTTCAGCATCTTTCCCTATTGGCGCTCGTGGTGGGGTTCACAGATCCAATCGTTGAAGACTCCAAACGTTCTTCATAGGTCTCTTTCTTTCTTTGCAAGAAGCTATATTACAATGGATCTCTTGAGTAACCAATTGCAAATCTTTGGATATTAAAAATTTGATTTACCAAATAATAATCAATTACTTGGGGCTAAGTTTCTAGTAGCTCCGTACCTGTACTGAAATGGGGTCTCTTCGATGAAAAAAAATAATGCCTGAAATGGGGTCTTTCAGTTCTTGATTTTGAAGTGCGTCTGAGACTTAAGGAATAGTCGATACTTGGAGATTGATATGGGTTTTAGTTGTTGTTTTTTTTTTATTATTATTACTGATTCTTGCTTTCATTTATTCTTGGTGCCTAGTGAGGCTTCATTCTTTGGTTTGATTGAGTTTTGTTTGTATATTACAAATAGTCATATATTTTATTTTCTTTTCTCTTTTTTTTTAACGTAGTGCCATATTATTTTCTTTTGTGTAATTATATATTACTTAATCTTTATAATGTGAAAATTTGTTTGTATTAAAGGGGAGCCTTCAGTTATATAGAGTCTCATCAAATTGCCAGAAATCAGATTTGCATCCTTTTTCCATTTATCAAATGCAGAATCAGATTTGCATCCTTTTTCATTTATTTTTTTTTCATTTTTATGTTTCAAATCTTGTTTTATTTTGAGAAATGGGTTTCACTTATGATTTTGTTTTTCAATTACAAATATAAAGCTAAAAGGATAACTATAAATTTATCATAATCAACCTTTGTTCATCTCTGTGTGATTTTTTGGTATTTGTAATTGGGTTGCTAACTAGCTTATTTTTAATTGTTTTGATCTAGATGTTTTTATGTAGAAAGGAGGGCAATAAAAAGCTTGAGGGTATTTTCTGTCATTTTAGAAGATTTCTCTCTCCTCTCTCTTGTTTTTTCTTGTATTTTAACGGAAAAAGTAGCTAAAAATGGACAGACGGACTATATAGTCTAACGGAGGCAAACCTCAAGGATGATTTAGATATTTGAACAAACTACATGACTACTTAAATAATTTTTCTAAGCCTCAAGTACGAAATAATAATTTTTTCTTAAAATAATTATAATAAATCAAATTAAATATTAATAAAAATAAAACCAAAATATATTATATTCTTATCATATCTAACATGTACCTTATATATACCTTATATATACCTTATATAGTATAATATAACCAATCAAAATCAAATTACCTTTACTTTTTCAATCAATATTATTAAAATCTTAAAGATATTATACCCTTTACCTCTTTTTCCAATCCCAATATTATTAAATCTTTAAAGTATATTTTTATATTCTTTTATCATACCTTATATAGTATAATATAACCAATCAAAATCAAATTACCTTTACTTTTTCAATCAATATTATTAAAATCTTAAAGATATTATATTCTTTTATCACATTTAATAGATACCATATTTAGTATATAGTATAATTTCTTAATTTATCCGATAGAATTTGGATTTAAATAGAAATTTTTTGGAATAGAAAATCTTGATTCGGAATTTTTTGATGTTGCCCCTAATAATTGATATGTATTATATTCTTATTTTTTAAAAAAAAATAGACATTAAAATAGGAGAGAATTATTATTTTATCTTTCTATTTTGTTAAAATTATTCCAACAAAAATTAATTAGGACCATATAAATTTTTTTATACTTTATTAATAACATGGTATTAAGCCTTGTTTTTCAACTTCATTAAAGGACCTCAATTTAATAGCAAAATTTTTAATAAATTTTAATAATTATTTATTATTTAAACAAATAAAATATAATAAATACACATTATAGCATAAATAGTATTAAAAAAAGATGGAAATGGTAGCATACAAAATTTCCCAATTAAGATTTTTAATAATATATAATATTTGTTATACTTTTAAGGCAATATACTAAATTATATATAATATATTTTAAAAACTTTTTCACGTTGCAGAAACTGAATTTTTTTCAATAAAATTATTTATATATATTATATACTTTTTTCTTTTTCTATCTCTCTCCTAAATAATCTATCTCTCTCTCTAAATAAAATAATTTAAATTATAATCAAAATAAAAAAAATAAAATCAAATATTTAATAAATAAAATATAAAAATTTCCAATATCTCATTATCATATATATTTATTAACGAAATAAATTTAGAAAAGAAAAACCTTAATATTTTGAAATGCTTCGATCCCTATATGTACTTATTTAAAAATTAATTTTTAAAATATATCCAATCAACTAATAAAATATAATAATTTAATTGGCTATTATTAAAGTTATTTTAGAATATTCTAAATTTCATTCAGAACGATATCGAAAATCTCATTATTCCATTATCCCCTTATTCCCATATTTATATATATACTAGTTTTTTTATAACGTGCATTGTACGTTGACTATGCTTGTTATATTATTATCTTTGTACTCTTTTAATTTTTTATCTATATAATACTAAAGCATAAGCTTTTGTTTAAATTAAAATAAATATAATTGGTTAATTTGTATTAGATTTTGTCGTACAAACTATTTGTAATGCTAATGTACTTAATTCTATTTTATATAATGAAGTAATCTCAAAATAAAGTTTAACCAAATCTCTATACTTAATCCTTCGGTCTCTAATTTATAAATGTAGATTCTTAAAACCCTGATAAGTGCCCAAAAAGAAAATCAAGTTATAACTCAATTCTCAATCCCTGCTCTCAACCTCAAATTAATATCTATATACAATTATAATGAAAAATAAATAACTTATTTTTACTGCTAAATAGAAAAAAAAACTGAAAAGATAATCTGAATTGATAATGGTACCCATTTTGTCTAATAGTGATAGTAGTACTTATACAATGCATTGGAGAAATGAATATATAAACTTACACACAAATTCTTAAAACAAAAAAGTAACCCAAAATAGAAATATATAGTTAAAAATTTTTCTAATTTTACAAATACTACTTTCTTTCAAATCAAATAGATTTAGAATATAAGAGAAAAAACATTAAGAAAAATAAAAATGCCTAATCACGAAGAGATCATCTAGGATCCAAAATTGATTAGTTAGTGAGATTATTCAAATATTTTATTCTCTATTGTTTTAAATTGCACATTTAAAATAAATAAATAAATAAGTTAATTAATTAATAAAAAAAGATTACATAAGATAACGTTTTATCTCTCCAAATAAATTCTCAAATTTTCATACAACCATGAAAAAAAAGAATATATTTTTTCTTTTTTATCTCTCTCCTAAATAAAATATTATGTATATTCTATTTAAAAATATTTTTTTTAAAAAAAAAATTTCAATCAAATCATACAAATATAAAGAAAATCAAATGCATACAATAATAAAGAAAAAATATTAATAAAAAGATATACTTTTTTCGCTTTTTTTAATCTCACCCCTAATAAAATTTTTAATTATAATCAAAATAGGATATCAAATTTTAAAAAAATAATATAAAATTTTTTTAATCTCCTCATTATCATATATATTTATTAAAATAAATAACTAAGTTAATTAATTAATAAAAAAATTACATAAAAGAAACGTTCTAAATCCTTTCGCGAATAAATCCTCAATTTTTCAATAATACCCATACAAAAAGTAAAAATATATATTTTTTTCTTTTTTTATCTCCTAAATAAATAATGATATATCCTTTAAAAAAAAAAAATTAATATTATATTTTATTTGAAGAATTTATTTTTTAAAAAATATCATCAAATCAAATCATACAAATATAAAGAAAAAAAGAATATTAATAAAAGATATGTTACTTTTTCTTTCTTGTATCTCCACTCCTAATAAAATAATTTCAATTATAATGCATAATACAATCAGATATTTAAAAAAATAAAATATATTTTGTTTTAAAATCCCTCATTTCATTTATATTATTTTAATCAAAAAATAATTTAAAAGAATAAAACTTAAATTTTAAAACCACCTTAATTATCTTTATATTTTAGTTTAAAAAAAATATTTTAATTAAATTATATTCATTCCAATTCATAAAATGTTAATTTTTTCTAATTGGTCATACTAAAATTATTTAATTTATTTAAAAAAATATTTTAATAAATTATATTCATTCAATTCATAAAATGTAATTTTCTAATTGGTCATACTAAAATTATTTTAGCACATTCTAAATTTCATTAAAGATAATATCGAAAATCTCATTACTAGGGTATCCATAAAACCACTCACATGGCTCAAAACAATTTAAACCAATCCAAACCGATTAAAAATTACTGTTTTAAAAAAGTTGCTAGGCTGGTAGAGGCATTAATGTCTTTTTATCAGTAATTAACATCTGAAATGGATAAAATAGACGGAAAAACAAAAATTTATACCCGTTGCAAAATATGGAAATATTGTATTTTTTTAAATGCAGAAACAAACAAATAATTTAAATAATAATTTTTCTTTAATATAATTATGAAAGTAAGGTAACCCAACTGAAACCCGATAAAACATCGAAAAGCCTCCTATGAGTTGGGGACATTTTGCCATCTCTACCTTTTCTCGGCTATAAAATGCATGCACAGCCACACAATATTTCATGTATTATTGAGCACTGAAAATTGAACATTTGATTCAAAAGATAATTTTGAACATAAACTGGTAGTCCATTTTTATTTTATTTATTGAACTTTAATAGCATTCTTTAAAGTTCTCGGCAATCGCTTCTATTTTTCACTCCAAGTTACATGTCTGTCAGCATGAAGCAGCTAATTCTGTTTCTGACATGGAAGAGGCTTGCTCTATTCAGTTGCTTTGCCTTTGCGCCTGCTGCTTCCAGTTCCAGTTTCCAAGAGGTAACAAACCATTGAATCAACATCGTCACCGAATATGCTGTATGCCTCAATCACCTGCAGATAGCTGAATCCCATAGACAGAACCATCTGCATACTGCTGCTCAGGACAGCATCTTGAGATCCATGTTCCTTCATCCCTTTGTTCTCACTGCCCGATGATCCTTTTTCCAAATTCATACAATTATCGACGACTTAGTATAAAAGTTCAACTCTCTCTCAATAGACTGTAAAAGATAATGATCATCATTATATTTATCTAACTGTGTTTCCAAGGACTAGGTCATACGAAGAGGGTGGAAGGACAAAAAGAACAGTATTTTGCTCCATGTTACTTGCCCATAGTTTCAGAAGCTACTGTTTTGAGATTGATTTGGAACAGATCTGTGTACTTACTAGCTCCAGAAGATGATGGTTCAGCGCCAGAAGTAGATTCTTTATGACCAAGTTGCTGCTTGAACTTGTCATTGGCAATATACTCAGCCCGAGAAGCTTCCATCACCATACGCTCAATCTCCTTTTCAGTAAGTTCAAGATCAGAGTAAAACCGCCCCTCAGCTAAAAGTGCCTGTCATATTATCAGATAGAAGATGGTTCAGGTTAGCAATCCAGCAAGCCAAATACAACAACTGCATCGAATATGCTGCATAATAATACTTGCATTATCAATCTGCTGGTCCTGCTGAGCTTTAATTGCAGCTTTGACCTGATCCTTGTCCACGTTAGTCTGGAGAACAGAAATCAAGCTTTAGTAAGTAGTAACACCAGTATTTTTCCACTGCATCAGTCCACATCATAAAATAAGTAATTCCTACAAGTCCTATAAGTCCCATTGAAAAGTGAATTAGCCAGTCATTGCCATGGCATAGCCTAAATAAATTATTATTATTTTGCTGCTTCGCCTTTACCCATAACAAAAGAATACAGATTATTGAAACTCAAGCTTATTGCACTTAAAGCAAAGTGATTGTGGCACATACTAAATGGCAATTGTCAGAGAGATTCACAAGCAACTGTTTTCCTTTGACGGCTATTTGAGTCATCATGTTTTAATTTTCAAATAAAAGTATGAACAACTATTGTCATTAAATAATAGAAACAACAATAAAAGAAGCAGAGACGTACCCCTCTAAGACAGCTGAAACCAAGCCCTGCACCAATTGTCAGTCGACGTGGGTCAAGAAGAGAGTTATAATGATTACCATGATGATAACTCAGCCTTATGGGTGGTGTGTCAGTGTTGTAGCTTCCATGAAAAATGTTGATAGGTTCTACACCAATGACTCCCAGTAAGAAAGATGCAGCAAGTGGCAGTGCAAACTTGATGAATGAAAAAAAAAAAAAAAAAAGTTCTAAAGAGGGAAAAGCAGTACCAGTGCTATAGGAATATATGTGGATTGGCCGGTTATACATTTCTGATAGAGCTTGGATCTCCACATTGTTCCCATAGACCTGTGAATTGAGATGAAAGGTGCACATGTACTCAAACCAACATTATCAAGGCAATGAGCATTCAGACATAGTCAAGCCAAATGGACCGGTCATAGTATACAAGTAACATAGCAAAAATAAAGGATATTCCACAAACAATAGACAAAACATGCTTAAATATTAAGGGCCATGTTTCTCTACAGAGAGAGGGTATCATCCCACCCCACCCAAGTCCCTATCTCTTCTCCTCCTCTTCCTTTGGTGGTGTGAACGGTGTTTTGTTCATACCAAGCAAAAGGACTATGAAAGAAGGAACATGACAAATAAATACCACGCATTAAACTGTTCTTAATCTGTAATAGAAGGACGAGACAAATATCTCAAACATTTTACTGTAGTTAAAATCAGGTTTAAAAATATCAGCCTATATGTTATGCATTGGCAATCTCATTAGCTTTTTGGTAATGGTACATGATATTTTCCGTGTTGGTGCTCCGAATTAAAAAACGGAGGAGAATCATCTGTACCATTATGGTTCTCCCAATAGACCAATCCATGCCAAGACTAACAAAACGTGTCAAAAGTAATCACTCCCTTCTCCACTCTCAAGACTCTCTTTTCTCACCTAACTCTGCAAAACGTACAAAGTTGACAGAGAGGGTAGTTTCATTTTTTCTAAAATCAAAATCTGATGTAATTGAACAAAAGTTGGAATTTTGGTTGGGAAATCACAAGTGTTGAATTGAGACATTGAAGAAGGAAGAAAAGACTAGAGTGTGGAGAAGTGGAACTGGCTGCATTGGTGTAATGTGGAGAGGATGACTAGGGTCAGTTTTTTGCACGGTGGTATAAACAAGTTAGGAGATGTGGTCTCTTTTTCCCTGCATGTGTTTAGGTTAGTTAAACAGTACTGCTTTACTTTTAGTTATTTTTTCCCCCAAAAAAGAAAGTGTAATGCTTCACTTTTAGTTAAACAGTACTGCTTTACTTCTAGTTATTTTTTCTCCCAAAAAAAAAGTGTAATGCTTCACTGCAGAGTTTAAAGGGTAATGAACTTTCAATATAATAATCTAAACTTTAAATGGTTTGTATTTATTTTTATAAAATTATAAAATGGAATTTAGAACAAAAATAAGACTTCAAGTCAAAATAAAGTTTTTCATTATATATTAAAATTATAAATGGAATTCTAGAACAAAAATAAGACTTCAAGTCCAATAATAAAGTTTTTCATTTATATATTATATATCACTACTATTATATAATATATATTATTATAATTATTATATTATATATATATTACTCCTATTAATAGCTTCTATTATTGAATGAAATACTGATTGAGCGTAAGACCAAAACTATATTATACAAAGATAGATATAAATTTTGGTTTCAGATAGTTCTCTCTCCACGTTAACCATTAGTTTTAATTATGTAATGCTGTAATTATGTAACTCAAGCCATGCAATAGTGTTTTATATTTATAATATATATATATATTTAATGTAGCATTGGCGTTGAGTTCACTAAATTACACATTACAAATTAAATAATGGTTAAGTCGAAAACTTATCTGAAAACAATTATATCTGTGTAAATACTAGTATTTTTCTTACTCAATTCAGTGGCATTATCATTCAGAGTATTTAGAACTATTAAAAACATGTAGTTTGCTAAATAAACTAATATATTTTATGCATACAACTCATTTTAAGTATTATTGTGCTTTTTTTTAAAAAAAATTGCATGGCTTGAGTTACATAATTACACATTACAAATTAAATAATGGTTAAGTGAAAACTATCTGAAACCAATTATATCTTGTAAATATAGTATTTCTACTCAATCAGCATTTCATTCAGATATTAGAACTATTAAAAACATGTAGTTTGCAATAAATAATTATTTTGCATCTCATTTAGTATTATTGTGCTTTTTTTTAAAAAAAAAATTTCACTACCATGCCAACCAATACCATTACATTTCAAATGCAACATACCAACGCGTCTGCAATGCGAACACATCCGCAACTGCGACGCTGGCTGCAATTGGGATTTAAAAACTTGGTCAAAATGCATTCTGGAAAACAATTTCACAGCTTTCCAATTTCCTTTTTCCAGGCGCAAGCTAAACTAATGACCTCAAAAAGAGAAAAATTACGCAAGTATATGAAGCTTTAAAAATTTCAGAAGGTCATATACAAAAAGAGAGATATTTACAGTGTAGTGCATTTCTCAGCACCAGATATTCAACAAAACAACAAGTGAAAAGCCAAACTGGATACATATTCATACCTTGTCCCTTCTCTTCCTCTTACAGTATGATGTAAAACCTTCAGTAATAAATTGAGAAAAGTGGTCCCTTTCTCGCTCCTGAATAGCGAAAAAAATAGATCAGGACAACCCTACATCTCATTAACAATGTCCACTTGTGCACAGAGAAATAGATATCCTAAAAGTTTTATCAATTCAGCTAAAGCAAATACATTATGAAAGAGATCCAGAAGTACGGAAGTATAGCATAAAAATATTAACCTTTGCCGCCAATATAATGGAAGGAAGATCATTAACACCAAATATTCGCTCACAGATATTTTTATAATTAGAAAATGAATCCAATTATCTAATCCCATTATTCAGATGAAATTGACAAGAAAACAGGGGATAACATGAAAGTTGGTCTCAAATATACCCCTAACTAGAACAAAAATACAAGAGAAAAAAGAAAAGAGAAATGCCAGAGATAAAGAAAGATCCAACTATAAGATCCTCACATGCTACCATATATTACTCTCAAACTCCTTTCTTTTCTATGAAACTGTCTGCTATTACCATCAAATGTCTAGACATGAACTTTCAGCAAAACCGCATATCACAATCAGCAAATAGGAATATTAGTACCGTTAAAAGGAAAAATGCGCAATTCTATCAACCTATCAGACTAAAATTCTTCAGTAACATTCAATAAGGCCACATGAAAACCAAACATATACCAAGCAAGACTAATGAAACAAAGAAATGGAATGCCTTTTCAGCATGGCTCCTCTAAATGAACAAGATTTGAACTGGAGCAATGAATTCACAAGAATATTGAAATAGAAGAAATTAAACATATTACCATATAATCTATGCACATTTGTCTAATCAAATCATACGCCTCAGAATCCCCATACACTTGATCCGCAACAGCACGGAAGAGACAATTCCCATCCCCCAACATCCTTCTAACTTCAAATCCTTTAGACCGCCTTATGTCAATTTCAAATTGGCGTTCTCTTTCCTGAAATAGATGCAACATTACGAAATAGAACCCGATGTAATTTTTGATATCATTAAGTCTTAAGGCACAAACAAAATATAGGGCAATGTGATAAAGATGATAAGATCACAAGCACAAGATAAATAACTGTTAAATTCCACTAACTTTTATCAAAACCGTGAAGTCCATGGATGGAGATATTAATCAAGATTTTCACTGAAGTAACTCAACAAGCAGGAGACCCAAAAAGGCAAATAAGTAATCAGATAAAGAATATAAGGAAAATAAATCTGACAGCCCAAAAGATTACAATTGAAAAAGTAATAAGAGAACAGGAGAAATAGAATATAATGATTGTTAAAAACGTTATTACTTGTTGCAAGCACATGACTTCTTTCAAAAGATTAAGCAACTTGCTTGATATAATGCAAGAACAAAAACATAGATCAACCATTGTATTCAGTAGCAGGAACTGACCAAATCATCATAGGAGGAAACACAGCAAGGGTTCTGCTCGTCAGCACTATTATATCCCTCACTATCACCATGAGACCTAGGAGAGGAAGGCCGTGACCCAGATGGTGATGTCCTTGTAGAAACAACAGGCCAAGCAACCGCTCTTCTAGATGATCCAATACGCACAGAATTTGAACTTCCCGTTACAGTTCTCCTCAAGTTTGAGTTCGAATTTGAATTTGAATTTGATGACAGAGGTTTTGGTGGTGGCACAGGAGGGGGTGGTGGATGAGGACTTCCACTGCCAATGCCTGGAGAACTACCACTTGAACCTTCAGTCTCAGCTGCAGGTCCCTCCAATATCCTCAAACCGTCCAATCCTTTTATCAAATCCCCTGATCCAATGCGCTCGACATTAATCAATTTCTCATTATCAACAATTTCATCATTCAAATTTTCAATCTTATCACCATGTAAACCTTCCATAAAAAACTCGTCACTTTTTGTTGCCTTGTCGCTACTCCCGCAATACTCCAAGAACTCATCGACAACAAGTTCCTGTCTTTCATCACCAATTTCCTCATCTTTTGGAGCTGAAATAATCTGAGGGGTAGCTGCAACCTGTGTCTCAGGCCGAGCAGTTGATGATGACCCTGCTCTGCTCTGGCTTGAAGAAGAAGAACCACTGCCTCGTTGAACCAAAACCCGAGTCATTGGTTTTCAATTTATTGTTCTCAATTATTGAAATCCAAACGCGAATTCTTGTCCCCAGGTGACCCAAAATTAGAGGTAGAAAAAGACCATAGTAATCACAGGTTTGTCGCGAGTTCTTGCCTTAGGTGCAGTGACACCAATCCCTTGGCTGAAGGAATTCTTCCAGCCCAGTGCGTTCAGCTCCTTGTCACCGTGAAAAGATCTCTGCATTCCCCTAACAATTCTCATGAGACCCAAACCTTCAACTTTTTTAAACAATAATAACCTTCTCTAAGTACTCGAATTTTACCCGGAAAAAGAAATCCTGAAATTCACTTTCAAAACCTCAAGCTGCAATCAACACCATCCAATTCCCACAAAAATCAACATAAAAAAAATCAAAATTCTCTTTCTCACAACACAGAGAAACAATTCAAATCATATTTCAATAACAACAAACTCTAAATTCAAAGGAAGTTGGAGAAATCAAGTAAATCCATAGCTGGTCTTTTTCATCACTAACACATAAATGCCCTAAGCTCACTCATTAACTAATAAAACCCTATATAATCTACAAATAGCTAATCCTCCATATGCTCCATTCAATTCAGAGAAATAAAAATTAGGAAATTAGTAAAGCCAAAGCTATAATACTGCATTTGGAACCTAAATGCACCCAATTTAACTAATTGACCTGAACTAAGCAGCTATCCTCTCAATAAGAAAAAACAAAAATAAGAACAAAGCTTATAACTTTCTTTTCCTTTTCTTCCCTTTTTGATTTCCCACAGACGGTTAGCAAACCACAGACATAATGAAATCCACAAACCGCACTTCAAATAATAATAATTGAAAAAGCTAAAGAGCGATCAAAAAGATCAAACAGAGAGCAAAAACATAGTAATTGAATTGAAACAGGGATGTATTCTACGGAAAAAAAAGAATAGAAAACCCTAGAGTTGACTCAGCACGAACTGAAACAAAGACTCACCTGAGAGAGAAGAGATTAGAATCAAAAAAGCAAAAATTAGAAACCGAGTTGTTGAGATCTGCAAAAGCTGAGAGATAGATTAGGGTCCCTCTTAGGGTTTTTAATCAAAAGGAACCAAAACGATAATAAAAAGTCGATTACTTGGTAGAAAAGGAGAGAGTGTTTTAGAGAGAGAAAGAGAGAAAGGGAGAATGGGAGGCTTCCTTTTAACGGTGGGTGGGTGGAGAAGGGAAAGGTGACGTGGAGTCTACCATAGCAGACGGCCGGGAAACGACGGACTTACACGTGGCAAGTTCACCACTTTGTTCCGCACGTGTGACACAGCTTTCAAACTTTTACGGAGTAATTACTATTTAGTCCCCAAAATTTGGTCAAATACACTACTAAGGACTACGTTTCTCAAAATTTAATTATTTTGTTCCTTAGTTATCGTATCCTTATACTAATACATCCCTCCATCTATTATTCTCCAAAATTTTTGTTAATGAAATTGAAAATTTATATATATCTATACTATATATAAATATGGGAATAATGAAATTTTCAATAGTATCCTTAATGAAATTCAGAATGTGCTAAAATAATATTAATCATAGCCAATTAGAAAATTAAAAAATTACATTTTATTAGTTGATTGAATATCTTTATAAAAATTATTTTTTAAAACAATCAAAATTTGAATATTGATTTTCCTTAAAATTTTCAATAGTATCCTTAATGAAATTTAGAACGTGCTAAAATAACATTAGTCATAGCCAATTAGAAAATTACATTTTATTAGTTGATTGGTTATCTTTATAAAAATTATTTTTTAAACCAATCAAATTTTGAATATTAATTTTCCTTTAAAATCATTAATATTTGTTGTCTCAGATTTAATTTCTCTTAAAGCTCAATTATATAAGACAACTAACTATCAATTAAGAAAAACAACATTTTAGGCAATTTTAATTTTTATTATTTTTTAATGAAATCTGAAATTTTTCCTATACAAGTAAACGCCAAATATTTAAATCATATACAATTTCACTCTTTAACAAAAGCGTCACGTCAACATATAGGAAAAGCTCATGATTCTCCTTTATATATAATTCCTTAAATTTTCAATAGTATCACTTAATGAAATTTAGGAACGTGCTAAATACATTTAGTCATTTAGCCAAAATATAGAGAAGAAATTACATCTTTATTAGTTGATATGGTTATACTTTAAAAAATTGATTTTTTTTAAACCAATCATAATATATTTGAATATATTATTTTTCGCTTTTATAGTATCCTATTTAATATTGTTGTCGTTCAGAATTTAATATTTCTCTGTGAAAAGCTCCAATTTGTATATAAGACAATTAACCCTTCATCAATTAAGAAAAAAACACACAAAACATTTTTAGGCAATTTTTAATTTTTATTTTAATTGTTTTAATGAAAATCTGTAAATTTTTTCTTTCCCATACAAGTAAACGCCAAATTATTTTAAATCATAATACAAATGCTCACTCTTTAACTCAATAAAATGCGTCAACTAAGTCAACGATAATAGGAAAAGCTCATGATTTCCTTTATTATATACTATATATATATATATATATAATATATATATATTATATAATTATAATAATAGTATATTTATATATTTATATATGATTATTATATCATGATATTGATTAAATCTATTTAAATAGATTATTATATTATAAGAACATTAACGCTCCATTTGCGTATTAAAACTTGAATTTTAGTAAGAATATCAGTATAGATGAATGACTATGTTTGGAGTGAAATATGATTATGTTTCAAAAAGATCATATTTCAATATCAAAGATATAATGATTATTATATCATGATATTGATAAATCTATTAAATAGATTATTATATTATAGAACATTAACGCTCCATTTGGTATAAATGAATTTTAGTAGAATTCATTTGTGAATGATGTTTGGTATGATTAGTTCAAAACATATAATTCAATTGAATTCCATATGATTATGTATGGAATAAATTCGTAATTGAAAATTCATTTGCTTTTGTTTCCTAAAATATTCTTGAAATAATAATTTTACAATAATAAATAGCAATTATATTTATTTTATGCTATATAATTTTTTTATATTTTTATTAGAATAAATATATAAAAAAATAATATTAATAAAGTTATTGCATTTAATTGAAGAATGTATATTTACTTTGAATCTATCGCCTCAGTAGTAAAAAAAAAAAAAAACTCAAAATATTAAAATAAAAGATGAAAAAATTAAAAGAAAAAACACAATAATAGAAAAACATTTTTCTAAAAAATTTTTTTTTCATGGTTTTGGTCAAGTATGATAAATAAATAAATTAAATAAGTAAAAATTAAAAAATTGACTTTGTAGAAAGAGAAGGGTAGTTTCATCATAAAAAGTTGGATGGCTTAGTTTTATGGAATTCATTTAGAAATTCTAACTATTTTTATGGAATTGGTGTAGTTATATTCAATTCTATAGAATTGAATTCCTAGAATTGAAATCTCCATTTTTTTTTTCATTGCAAACGCAAAAATATGGATTTCTAAATGAATTGTTTACAAAATTTCATAGAATTCATTTGTTTCAAACAAGAGATAAGAGTCATACTACCATATGAACGTCTTCTCAGATGCTACAAATTTTCAAAATATAAAATGTATAGGAGCAAATAAAATAATATGTTATTCATTTTAAAATGGAAAGAGAATTTTGATTGAAGTTTTAGTAGATACAATCATATTCAACTTAAATTGTAATATTGAAATTGTAAAATATTTAAAGATAAAAATTTACAAATAAATAGGATAGATTGTTGTTTAAAAAGTTAATCTTTTTTTTTCTTTTTCCTTTTATGAAAGTGATTTACTTTTAATGCAATAATAATTGTAGTTCTTAATATTCAATGTAACATGCTTAAATATTGTTAATTCTCTCTCCTCAAATGAAGTGTCACATCAGCATATAGGAAAAACTCATGATTCTCCTTTATTATATATGATGATAATGATATAATGATGATGATACGTTGGCTTAAGGTCATGAATCCTAAGATTTTGATGATTAAATAAATCAAATAAATTTAATATTTTGTATGTGCTAAAGTGATTTATGTAGAATTTTATTAATGAAATTATTGAACAATTCAAGCTCCTACAACTCAAAGATTTTTATTGAAGACCATGAAGATAAATGAAAATTTTAGTGGTTAGTATTTTATTGAGTCTAGAAAAATTGTAGGATAGCGAGATAATATTATTATAAGCACAAAATATTTATTATCTTTTTAAAATCATTTTTGAAATATTTTAAATTAAATATCTCAGAGAAAAAATCATTAATCATTGCTCTTCACGTTTATCCAAGTAAAAAAGATTTTTGGAAAAAACATTTTGGTGGCTACTAAATGTCCTTTTTACAAAAGCAATTCTATTTCTGACAGAGTTGACATTTTCTTTTATAAAGCAACACAATTTTCTAAATCGGTCTTTCCATCTCCAAGCTATGCGCGTGTGTGTGTGCATGTGTGCATGTGTGAAAGAGTGCTCTGACAACCTTTTTAAATACATTCCATCCATTGCCTATTTTATTTAACATGTCAATCACACTCATTGCTCCTTTAAAACAAAACTTAACATTATTAAACAACGGGAAGATTATTCCCTTTATAAAATCGTTTCCCTCTCTCTCTAAAAAGCTATTGACAAGAGTAAGAAATCATTGTTCAGAGATTCAAAACATTCAAAGCTCTCTTCAACCCCCCTTTATTTCTTTTCTTCTCTATTCTTCAAGAAATATTTTTAAGAGAAAAGAAATTTTGTAATAACTCTTTTGAAGAACAGTTCTAATCTTACTTTCTGTTTTATATTCTTCTTGTGCTTATAGTTGCATTTCTCTTTGTCTATATAGATTCGTGTAATCTGTTATAGGCTAGAGATTTTTAATGAAAAACATTTGTGTATAGCTTAGGTTGATTCGTTGTAAATTATCTGTTTAGTAGCGCTAGAGATTTAATTTAAATGAGAAAAAAAACAATTTGTGCTATAGCTTACGTTGAAAAATAAACTTACATTTGTTAAAAGTTATCAAACATACATTTTAGTTGCATTTCTCTTTGTCTATATAGATTCGTGTAATCTGTTATAGGCTAGAGATTTTTAATGAAAAACATTTGTGTATAGCTTAGGTTGAAAAACTACATTGTAAAAGTTATCAAACAACATTCTCGTTAGTGATATTCTAATGTCTTGATTCTGAGTTTTCTATTCTTTGTAAAACAAAAAGGTAGAGGTTAACTAGAACCTTTAGAAATCTAGTGGGTTAAAGGTTAGATTTACATTTTTGATATATTTTTTTGTAATGTTAGTTTGTCTCTTACCCTTTAAAAAAGATAACATAGTGGAGGATCTCAAGATGATTCTTAGGGAGTGGATATAAGGGCATTAGTACCAAACCACTATAAATTATTGTATTTAGTCTTCTTTTAATTTTCTGAAGCTTGCTTAATCATATTCTAATTACACACCTGTTTATATTTTTAGAAATGCAAAGTTGTCAATGATTTTTTAATTTCTGAAAGTGTAAAAGCTTTGTCTTTGTGATTTATTAGAATTCTAAATTTTTGTGCTGTGATTTCTCCAAGTTCTAATTTATCCTAGTACGTTTAGAAGAAAGCAGAATTTGAGTTATAATCAGTTTTCTAATTTTTCATAAGCTTTGTAAGGAAGTTTTAATCGTGATAATTGTCTTTCACAAAGTCTTTCTAATTCCACTGCTTTAGAATTCTGACTTGAGTTTTTAAAAGTTAAATTTTAAAAAAAAATCCAATTCACCCCCCTCTTGGATTATGCCATATAAAACGAGACCCACAATCTGGTATCAGAGCTTTGTCTCTTGACTTACCAAGGCTTAACCGCTTAAGAGAAAAGATCCCTTGGCTGCCCCATAACTTCTAACAGCTTTAGAAGGTCAATCAATTTTTAGACAACCTCTGCTCAATGGATCTAATTACTCTTATTGGAAAACTAGAATGAAGAATTTCATTAAATCAGTTGATAGTAATTGTTGCAGAATCATTATTCAGGGTCTTCGCGTTCCTATGGAAACTGTTGAAAATAAAAGAGAACCAAAAACAAAAGAAGAGTACAATGATGTAGATTGAAACTATATCTCTATAAATGAAAAAGCTATAAATATTGTTCACTATGCATTAGATCCATCAGAGTATAATAAAGTTTCTGAATGTAGGTCTGCAACAGAAATTTGGGATAAACTCAGAGTTATCTATGAGACCGAATTAAAAAATCCAAAATAAATATCCTTTGGAGATAATATGAAATATTTAGCATGAGAGAAGGAGAGTCTTTTGCTGAATTAAATTCTAGATTCACATAATTAATCCTTTGAGAACTCTTGGAAAGAAAATTTATTTGTAGTGTTGGAACCTGCAAGATGAGCGGAGCAATATTAAAATATGAAATAACTTTTATAATATCATTGAAAAATAATAAAATTGTATAATAAAATATCTCATTGAAATTTATTACAACATTGTTATTTCATTAAGAGATTCTTAAGTATCATATAAAGCCTTTCACCAAATTATGCAATAGCAAAAGGCATAACCTACATCAAACAATAATACTTTGAAAATATGGCATGAACCACAATGAACCAAACTCGGTTATTTCCCTATAAAATCAATAGTAGCAACTCATAAAAAATATATATACAATGATGTCCTATATAATTATTAACACTTCAGTAAAAATAACAGCTCATAGATAACTTAGCAGGATAGTTGCCCATAAACACATGTAAATTCAACAATTTTAGGGTACAAATTTATTTGCAAAGAATCTTAGCCAATGATATAAATAAGCAAAGTCATGTGACAGCCTGCATATAGTCATGCACATAAATTACTCACCTTGAATGATGAGTTGCTTCAGCAATGATTTTGTAGGCAATATAGGTGGAAGAAACACCACTTTCTCCTTCGAAAAAATGCATAACTATTAAAGGATGAAATAATCTTTGTAACATAATTAAAAAATAACATCATTCAAAAAATGATAAATAATTTTATTTAGTTGAAAACTGAAAATTAAAATACCTATTTAAATTAGATTATGAAAAACTTCTTTATATACTACTTTTGTAGCTTCATTTGTAATTTGTCCCTCATCATCATAAATTAAAACTTTCAATCCATTTTTACTCGTCACCCTTGTAAGAACAACATAAAGTTGTCCATGAGTAAACGTGGGTCTTTTCAGAAATAAGCCGACATGAGATAAAGATTGGCCTTAACTTTTGTTAATAGTCATGGCAAAAGATACAGTGATAGGAAATTGCCTTTGTTGAAATTTAAAAAGTATTCTTACTTTAGATGGAGTCAGTGTCATTCTTGGAATTAAGACTTTTTTTCCAACTAAATTTCCTGATAAAGCCTTTGCTTCAATAACCTGATTCCCAAGTCTTGCGATGATTAACCTTATCCTATTACACAATCCAGATGACTGATCTATATTTCTCAATAACATCACAGGAACGCCAACCTTCAAAGTGATAGAGTGATTTGGAACTCTAGAACATATACTATTCACAAATTCTAGTGTATTTACATGTTCCAATGATCCGAAAGCATGATCAGACATAAAAACCGAATCAAAACTCAAATATGATTTCTCAAGGCTATTATTTAGTAAAACCATGTATTCATTAATTGACTCTGTGTCAAGAGTAGGTGCTAGAATTACTGTATGCTAAAGGTAATTTATATCGCTACAATGAGTAAAGAAATCAGGATACATGTTTTCAACAATCATCGATATTGGATCATCATAATGATTTATGAGAAGATCATCGGGGATTTGAACATTTTCAATGTCATCAACTGATTTTCCAATATTTCCATCTCCAATTGCCAAAATCCAACCAGAAAAATTCTTTAACTCATCCAAATTTACGTTCGAATGATTTCCTTGCAACCTCATATTCTTTTTCAGCTTCAAAACTTAACAGTGTGTCCATAAATAGAAAGAATTCAGAGTATAATGGACAATATCTTGGCTAGTACCTTTTGCAATGATAGGCAACATTTGTCTAAAATCACCTCAAAGAACCACTATTTTACCTCCAAAAGGCTGATCTAAACTGGATGCACTTTTAAATCTCAGAATGTCTTTGAGAATTTGGTCAAGTGCTTCAAAACAAAACCTATGCATCATTGGTGCCTTATCCCAAATAATTAACTTTGCTTTAATAATCAAGTTGGCTAGAGGACTACCTTGCTTTATATTGCATGTTGAATCTTCATTTAAATTGAGAGGAATTTTAAACCTGGAATGAGCTGTCCGACCTCCCGATAACAAAAGTGATGCAATACCACTTGATGCCATAGTTAACACAATGTCATCTCTAGATCTTATTCCAGAAGAGAGAGTCCTCCAAATAAAAGTCTTGCCAGTACCTCCATAACCATATAAAAAGAACAAGGCTAGAGGACTACCTTGCTTTATATTGCATGTTGAATCTTCATTTAAATTGAGAGGAATTTTAAACCTGGAATGAGCTGTCCGACCTCCCGATAACAAAAGTGATGCAATACCACTTGATGCCATAGTTAACACAATGTCATCTCTAGATCTTATTCCAGAAGAGAGAGTCCTCCAAATAAAAGTCTTGCCAGTACCTCCATAACCATATAAAAAGAACAATCCACCTTTGTCTTCATTCACTGCTGTCATTATTTTATCATAAACAGACTTTGGTTCAACAGTCAAATTCCTTAGTAATTGTTGATGTTCCTTTAATAAAGAGATTCTATTATAACGCAATTCATCAATAATTAATCTATTACTAAAATCAACCTCTTATTGATGGTAAATAGGTCTTGGCATTGTTGGATAATCCTAAAAAGTTCTGCCGCATCTTTTTAAAATTCTTTCTAGTTTTTGTAAGCAACAATTTTTTACCTCATCATTTGTTAGCTCAGCATCTAAAGGAAACAATAACATAGAATAAGAAAAGCAATTATCAAAAATCAAATCATTTAATAATAGTTAAGGTACCTAAGTAAGATTAAAAAAAATATAAGCAAATTAAACAAATTATTTGCAAAAGATGCTAAGAAGAGCATCAGAACAAACAAAAAAAGAACAAAAAAAAATATTGTGACATTAATGTTATGCGAAGTATTGAGCTGTTAACCATGACAAATAAGATGAAATTTCATAGCACAATAGAAAATAGTAGATATACTTGAGAGATTTAAAATGCTGAAAATTATTAACTAAGCAAGCAATCAAACTTCTCAAAAAAGGGCTAAAGTCACAATTTTAATGGACTTTTATGCAGGCAATGGTATACCATATTATTGTGTCAACAATGATCATTTTTCCATGTATTAAATTTATATAAATAAAGATGCTAATCAATTGGATATCAAGGACATCAAATACTACTTGACACTGATTTTGTCACTACATTAGGGACATTTAGGTAAAAAATCCATTTTGAATCTAAGAAATGCTAATGGAAATATATAACTATAAATTTAGTTATTATTATACCAAAAACAACTTCACCTTTATATATCAAAAATTGTTTTGAAAAAAGATAATCATGCAATACACTGCATATATAAGGAAAAGAGCATTAAAATATAAAACTTAATAAATGGCTTTTGGATGCCATTTGTTTATCTTTAAAACATAAAGTTAGAATAATCATTATGTAAAAAGAAATCATATTACAACAACAATAATAAAAGGTCCATTTAGGTACCTGGATTATTTAATAATTCTCGTTCTTCATAAAGGACATCATTTGACAACAATTGCCATGTTTCCTGCCAAACATTTTCTGGTCGTGACATCGAATTTGATAACAGCAACATAACAAATAATTATCTAAGGTATGAAGACATCCCCCATTCACTTGCTTCCTTTATGGCATCCACATATTCTTTGTCATCATCCAATAAACCAAGTGAGTAACATGCATCTCTAAAATTGCTATGCAAATAATTGTTAATTGTCTTAAGATCATCATAGCATACTGGACCTTTAATTACATTCAACAATAACCTTAGATAATATAGCTCGCCAGTTCCAGTGGAACAAAGAAAATCCTCACAATAGAAAATCCAGAACTTTTTCTTCTATCCCATTTTTTGGCATTTTGTTTCCATACAAATTTAAGAGGAAATTCTGCATAGGTTAATTCTCTTGCTTCAAGAAATACTTTATTTACCTCAAACCATCCTAAAAACATTGATTAATTTATGCTTGGTCTATTTGCAACGACATCAATTGGATCATCATCAGAAAATATGACATTCTGTTCATTTGGAAGATGAAATGCTAATCTTTCCACAGAAGGTTCTCTATGCTGAATTGAAAAGCCAAATATTCTCTAAATAGCTTTGCAAGGTGATATATATCGACAATCATAATACATATTGATTTCATCTACAACATTTGATGAACCTTCCTCTTGTGCACTTTGAGAAAAAGCAGCAGTAATATGATCATGCCCTTTATTAACATACTTGATGGATCTTGATTGGTTGCACCATTCCACATTTGTATGAGCATCATATTTTAACAATAAGAATCGATTGTGCGACACTACTGTCACGACCCATTTCCATGGGCCGGACTGGCACTAGGGCCCAGGTAAGCTTAAGGCCCCGAGGCTTATAATAAGCCTAAAACACTAAAATCTACTATCTCAATATAAATTTCAAACATTCAGCCCATGGCCCCGAAGGGCTTTATAAATTAAGGCCTAAAAGCACTCCGAAATTACTATCTGCAGAGATAAATTTCAAAAACACTACTATCTCAATATAAATTTCAAACATTCAGCCCATATTACTAGGAAAAATAAACCTTAAGATTTTATTATATCTCGGCCCAAATTTATCATCTATAACATTCCACAGTTCGGGCCCAATTTATAATACATCACATTTCTAATATGGGCTCAAAGAATTATTTCATCTATGTTAATATACGACTAAATGTATGTAAATTCTACAATTGCGGAGTTCACTAACAGATATGTACGGAGAAGTTTTCGTACATTTATCTATTTAATGAATTAATATTAAAATTAGAAAGTTCTTTTCTAACAGTGAAAGAAGTAGAGCTTTAGCTAGGATTCAGGAAAAACTACTTCCTGAAAGATTAAACAAAAGAGATGTGAGTTTATTAATGAATAATAATTATTCTATAACACATGCATTCACACGAATGTGTAAATAATTCATTCACTTACACGAACTGTCTGTAAGAATAATGAGAATTCTAGTCATCAGCCACTAGTTATATGATCACCATAGCGGCTCTGGCACTGAGTCACACAGAATGGCGCGAACATACATGATGTACTGCAATTATTAAACATCTTCACATTCAATCACAATCACGTGAAAATTTAGTCATGCGCGTTACCGAACCCTTTAACTGAGCCGTCCTCACATATGGCCACCCTCTTCATAACGTGTGCAAGCCAGGGGAGTCGCATCCCCATACATGGCCGACCGGTCGTAATCCTCACTGACCAGCCTCTCATTGTTTTTCCATTCTCTCTTTTCTTTTCCATATTGTTTTTCCATTCTCTCTTTTCTTTTCCATACCAACAGGAGGCCACCCTGTTGTTTATCCATATTATCCATATCATATCATCAGGTGCACACGGGGGCGCCGATCTCCTATACGGCCAACGGTCTTGTGGACTGCCCTCACAAACCCATGGTGACCCACTTCATCCTAACTCCACACATACAAGGCATAACATTATCACAGCACAATTAATCAATTATTGCAATTAAATGCAAGCATAGCAACTAATTAATTAACATGATGCAAATACACAAGTAGACATTCATAGATAACTATAATTAAATAGAGAAACAGAAATCAACAACATATTATTATTATAATTGATCCATCGAAAATAAATAAATAACTAAATAACTAAATAAATAATAATAAGAATAATAAGAATAATAAAATAATTAGAAAAATTTATTTATTATGTATTAAGTTAAAGAATTAATCTAATAAACCAATTAATTTAATTATTGATTAAGACTAATCTAGGTTCTATCGAAATTTCGGCAGAGTCTCCCCTAGATTTTGATCAAACCATAATTCAATAACAAATGTTTCAAAGCCCATCCATCGGGCAATTCACATCAAATCATCTCATCCGCCATAACCACAATCATTTATTTAGTCTCTTACTCAATTCACACAGCCCATCCGTTGGGCAATCAAACAATTCAAGCACCCTTCCTCCTTTAACATCAACATCATCCCCAACTATGTTAACTTTAAATTCAGAAATATAGTAACCTTTAACCTGATCTAATAATATTCATATAACATTGTTTATTAAATCATAAGCTAAAAAAATTAATAGCTTTATGGTAATTAGTTCCTTAAGTGTTTAAAACTCGTTTTTAACAACAACTCATTATAACTTCTACTTATTTATATTCGATCATCTAATTATCTAACTAATTAATTCCAATTCATCCTTCATGTTTTGATTTATGACAATTATTCCAAAATGACTTATTTTCTAGATTTTCAACATTAAATGTATTTAATTAGGTTGAATAGTGTTTTTAATTACGTACTCAACCTAATAGAATCATGATTTCTAACAATTGAATCCTAAGTTCGAATTCTCCTAAAAATTCCACAATTAAATTCACAAGCTTCCAACCTAATATTTCAAAGTCCTTCGATTAAATATCTATTCGAAATTAACTAAATTAACTCATAAATTTAAATTTGAAATTTATACCCAAAAATGGGAAAATAGGTCTTAGGGCGTACCGGTCGAAAATATGTACCAAAGAATGGGGGCGGAAAATAGGTCTTAGGACGTACCGGTCTGAAAAATATCTATTCGAAATTAACTAAATTAACTCATAAATTTAAATTTGAAATTTATACCCAAAAATGGGAAAATAGGTCTTAGGGCGTACCGGTCGAAAATTGGGCAACGATTCCACGAGCAGCGCGAGAAAAGGAGTATTCTGCCTCTAAGGGTCTCGCCGGACTGCCGCCGTCCACGGTAGCCGAAAAGTCGATCTTTGTCCAGAATTTTGCAAGGACACCACTACTCCAATCGAATTTCGCTAATGGTTCCATTTCCGATGTCAATTGAGCGAGATGGGACCTCTAACTGGACGGATCGGACTTGACAAGTGCTTGGAGCTCCTGTCCATGGCAAATTCCCTTTTTGAGCTCCATTGCCATAATTGATGGAGGAGAAACGATCGCATTGAGGAGATGAAGCTATCGGCGCCCCCCCTTCACGCTGCAATCACCAGCAACGACGTGTATCGCCGGAAGTTGATGAACGCCAACTGTCAAGAAAGAACGGCTCCATTTCAAGTCAATGGAAGCTCTTTCCGCGTGAGAGGAGGCCGGAGACGAGACCCGCAGCACCAGACGAGTCAAACGCCACCTGGCTCTCATTGAGCAGTGACCGAAGACGCAGTGCATGGGGCAAGAGGAGGCTGTTACGCGCTGGAGGAAGAAGAAGGAGAAGAAAAGAAAAAGAAAAGGAAGGAAAAAATCGGGGGCTTCTAGACCATTTTGGTTTAATTCGAACCAGTTTGTTCTAATTCAATGATTTGGCTCAATTTGCTAGGTTTTTGAGTTTTTCACTTGGTTTTCAGAAAATTCAAGCTGGTTTATGGGTCCGATTTAGTAATAAAAAA